CAGATAGCATTTTCCAGAATTCTAACATCTAGAAGGTAGAGATTCTCGTTGATATTTCTTTTAAAAAATGAAGCAATGCCATCCACCATTGAAGCCTTAGTAACAGTGTAATAGAGTACCGAATGGTTAGTTGAATTAAAATTTAACCCGTCATTACTACAAGCTGCCAATATATCCGTATAATTTCTTAATTAGACTTGTTAAGTGACATTTAGAAATACGGAGAACTAAGAGTCAAGAATAGCTCTAAATTTGAAGCACATTATCAGGCTGCTCATACCCTTTTATATATTGGGTGGGGGAAAGACAGTAACATTAGTTAACTAATCACGAGTCCAAAGTTCGCATACTTGCTAAACACCTACCAAATCCTGAGAATAAAGTAGGCTGCAGCTAACGGCAATCACAATATCACTTAGCAAAGAAACAGACAACCACCATACGGATTCGATTATTTATTACTACTCCCTTGGTTTCCTAGTGGAACATATGACTTCAAAACAGATTATCTCCATTTCAGTCGTTTCTCTGCAGTCCTCTTCAACTGACCCCACGAAAGCCCATAGTCTCTCATCTCCCCTTTACACAGTCCCCTCTAAGTTACCCTCGGACCCAAACTAGCTAGTCAGTAAGGTCTCACAACAAGAAATTCTGGGAAAGAAGCAAACAGAAACCTATTGCTCAACAGGTATATTGAAGCGAATTGAGATGGATTGGATGACGTCGTGCCAGACCATCGCCCGAGTGTAACCCTAATAGGAAACGACTAGTTGGGTGTGGGTCCGTTGGTGAAAGCTGGAGAAATGGCGTGAAATCGTTAGCAATCGCGGAGATGTATTCTCTCCATATCATCACATGCTGTCACCGGTCTTCCACAGTTATATCTGGAGGAAGGAGACTTCTTTGTGACTTCGCCTTCTCCATACAAATCACTGATAAGCTTTAAGCTGACATTTTCATAATGACTTTGCAGATATATTCATCGCACAACACTTTATTTTTAGGCAGTTAATTCATACACAACCTGAGTTGAACTGCTTTACGTAAACACGTTACACTTGTTTATTGTTTTGAATCAGATTGAACTTAGTATACTTTTCTTGAAGAATTGAATATATGTTCAAAGGTACTTCATGAATCCATAGAATAATTTATCAATAACTTACTGGTTTTTCTCTGAATTCTCTTCCTCATTATTATTCTGACTAAAAGGGAAATAATCTTTTTCATTTTCATAATTACAAGTTAGGATTAATTCCCTTCCAGCTGGATTATTCTAATATTCATTGTTTCACCAAATCACTTAATGAAATTAATTTCCATCTTCTTATATGAGTAAGTGAAAAAAAACCTAAAAACAAGATTGTGTGTATTGGGAAAATTGCGGTCTCTTTTCAGCAAGATAATACATCCCACTTGGCTTTCTTTTCTTTTCTACGATTCATGTGAATCGATAGAACCACCAGCCCATTGAAGATGTTTCAGGAGATGGTTGTTGTATTCTCAGGGAAATGTTTGGCATTTACTCCATTCGTGGAAGTACGTTTTAGTATGCTCAATAAGTTTTAAAATCGTTATGTTCGTAACGACCAGAATCGATTCATTGTGGTCTGAACGCAGAGAACCGATCTTTGAGCTCTACTATATTACTTGTCCAAAACTTTCTTGACAGACTCACGGTCACAGAACGCTACAAAGACAGCAAACAGACGCATGTCGAGTTATCCACAACGGAAATACAGAGAATCTTTTGAAATGAATACAGCATTTGGACATGGCTAAATACTATCACTGATGATATTCCTGATTGTGGTGGGATGGACTCCGCGTAGGACTGTGCTTCGGGAGGGAGAAGGCGTTAATATGTTTTAGCGGCATGAAGACTGTGGCGGATTTGGATTTCGTGGACGATTTCTGTTTAGTGCCTCACAAATCGGAAACCTTACATGTGAAAACCAACAAGTTTGCGCAAGAAGAAGGTAGGAAAGACAGTGCTTCAAGTGAACACTAAGAAGACAGAGGTGATGAAGATAACCAATCGACCAACAGCAAACACAACCAGCACCAATCACTACCAAAGAGAAGAATTTGAAAGAGGTTACTTCCTTCACCTATTTAGTCACCATCTTGTCAACTGCAGGTATGAAGCATGAAGATGTCAAAAAGAGAAGCGCAAAGACGATACAGATATTCGTCACTCTAAAATGAGTTTGAAAATCTTCTACACTCCGCCGTATGAAGAACAAGATTCGGATTTTCAAAACCAATGCTAAGTCAGTTGGTCAGTTCTTCTTCTATATGCGTCAGAAAGGTGGCACCGATATCACAAAAAACATTTCCAACAGATGGCTGCAGACGTTTATCAACAATTGCCTTCTCTCTCTGCATACTGAAGATCAAACAGCCAGCCGAAAAGTATTACTGACAAGAAACTCTAGGTATGACCCACCAAGCACCTACTGCCCAGCAAATATTCTGAAGAAAATGGAAGGTGAGTGGGAAGCAACGAGTTGGGCGTTAGTCCGAGAGTGACATGAAGGAGATCTTGGGAGTAGGAAATAGAAGACTATGAGGAATCTTGGGACCAGGAAACAGAACAAAGTGGAGATATGCTGCAGCTCTATCCCCCACTTGCCATTCAAGGGAACAATTGGAGTGATTAATAGTAATGATACATGGAGGCACTGGTGGGTTACTTACCCTCATGAATTCCATTATTTTTCTTTTGTCAGAACAACTTTCAATTATGTCTCGAGTGAAAGGTTATACGAAATAAACGATATAAACTGTATGAATTGTTTATATCATTGTGGATATATATACATACATATATGTGAACCAATTATGCATTCTCTTATGTATTATCATTTCACTCTTTTGTTTTTAGGTTGATAAAGGCTTACAGTGCTTGTGTGTGCAGTTAGGACATTCTTTGGAAACATTTAATACTGGCGTGAGACATTATGAATTGGAACAAGAAGAAAACTGGATCCAATCAGAGATGCATAGATTAGACGAATACATGATATCAGATAGAGCTCTGGTTCAGAGTATTTGTAAACTATTTCCAAGCATATTAGATGAAAGTATATCCTTGTCATTTACAAATGATGAAAGTTTATTGATATCAGAGACTTCAAATGATTTGCTTTCTATTTGTTACAATTCTATTGGTTGTGCAACTGATACTCCGGATGATCGTAATTTAGTAGAGAAAGTTTTTCAAGAATTAGAAGAGAGAATTGACCTATCAAGAGTAAGTTTTCTTTCAATTGTTGGTTTTACAGGGATTTTATCATGAGCTGCTGACATCGGTTAGCTGACAAACCGTGATCAGTGAGATACAGCAGGTAGGGCGGGTGTGACGACAAATACTCCCCATGGATTACACTGGTTAGTGCTAGCAGCGCTACATCCTGAATTGGAAGAAGTTGAAATTCATCGACTGGCCATTGAATCGGATCCCAGTGGTTGCTTAATGGTCTACGAGCTCATTGCGTTGTAATCAGGACGTCCTGGGTTGGAACCCTGCTAGTGGGTGGGTACGCATTGCTGAAGAGCCTCAAACACCAGTCCAGTACTAGCTGATGGATTTCCAACGGTTCTCTAACCTATGTCAGCTCATGATGAAATTCAGCAAGTTTTTTTTAACATTATATAATGTAATTTAAAGATTACTGG